ATGGTGTATATGTCAAAATGGATATATTTGAGACCTATGCAGAATTTTCCTTTGAGAGATTCTGGACCTGAGGAAGCATCAAAGAGCCAGTCTTCTGGGAATTTCTGAATCTTTTCTGAACCAAAAGGGGCAAACTCCTTATGCTGTGCCAACTGTTGTATGTCCGTTTGCTTCAAACAGTGGCTGAGCAGTAAGAGTACAAAGTCTGCCTGCAGGCTGTTATGTTTTCTACCACTAATGACAAGCCATGGTTTTAGCGGCTTGTATAAAACATTGCAAGGAGCATATCCTATCCCCTATATGAAATATTAGAGTGAAGAAGGCTTTTGGACACTCTCTCTCTAAACCAATTGCTATGCCTAAGAATTAATAAAATCCATATTGAAGTGACAGCTGGTGGACAGAGCTGGCTTCTTCCTGCATCAGTTGTCTCTCTAGTGGCCCATGTTCTGGGCTCAATGCACATTTATCCTTTTATTATGGCATTTATTGATTATTTATTTATTAAATCTCTGTTTCCTTAAGAATCATAATTGCACTGTTCAAAATCTAACTTTGGTCATATCAGCACCAGCTATTAACATCATTCTTTCCCTTTGCTCTTTAATTACTGACCTTCCAAAGGCATTCAGCTAATGTAATAAAAATGCAGACAGTTCAGAATATATTTTCTTAAAACTTTACATGGCATCATGAACCAGTTTCCAGTTTCTGTGCTACTTTGACTATTTCATATCTTGACAATGAATGTGTGCTTTTATTCTTTATCCATGATTTCTTCCATTTTTCCCCCTCCCTAATGTATATGTATATTTCTCAAGCTGCCAGAAACTTTAGACTGACTCAGGAGAACAGTGGAAAGTGTGTGTCACAAAGGCAGGGATTCAAATGAACTTTAGAGCAGAAATTCATTTGCTTATTTATTTATTCTGTTTTTATGTGGTAAGTGGCAAGACGAGGCAAAGACAATTCTTTTCAAGGGGGAGAATGTTAACTGTTTTCTAGGAAGTGGGGTTCAATCATTGTCTCTGTCAGTCTAGTGAGTGATTTCTGTTTCGACACGGAGAGGAAAGAAAGACCAAGTCTGCCTTTGTTTTCTCCAACTCTGTAAGCTGGGTCATCCAGGTAATTACAGCTTTACTTAAGAAAGAGAGTGTCTGATAGAAAATATCTGCTGCTGCTTGTAAGCACGAAGAAAAGACACTTGCAGGAATTAAATTGCATGATGATTTTCATCAGACATCTGAATCATTTTGCATTCCACCTCTAAAGCAGAAAATGATGAGTTTAATATCATATTGTAGGATGTAACTTATAAGTCTCTCAGAAGGCAGCTATGGCATCCAGAGATGTTTGAGTCTGGTTATTCATTATTTTCTGCTTAAAGGCTGGAGCAAATGCGACTATGAGGCTTTGAGCCACCTCTAAGTTTATTCCCATTCTTACTTGTAGATGCTACTGCATTAGAAGCCATAACCAGGGTGGGTTCTGCTGTGTAGATACTGACAGATACCCCTGTGGTTTAACAGCAGATAGGATTGGTTTATGTTTTAAGTGTAAATGCACACATAAGTTTATTAACTTCATTCTCCCTATCTCAAAGAGAAACAATTTCAGAAGGTCAGCTCTCTGCTGATTTTTCTGAAATTCCCATCAGTAGGTGACATATATTTAATAAAATGTTAATTCTGTGATTCTGCCTAAATTACAGGAGATCAGTAATTATGCCAAAATCTTCCAGAGAACCTCAACTGAAATATGAAATTTTATTCCCTAGCTTAAATTTGTAGCGTGGCAGTGAGTGAAACAGTTCCTACATATAAAGTACTTATGTATGAGTCTAAAGAGAGAGAAGAAATACCATTATCATTCAAGAACGATGTTCCTTAATTCTTTTGCGAAACTTGTCTGCAAACAAATTGTCTACTACTTGGTCTACTACTTGGGGCATGAGGTGGCAAACTTTGAGTTTAATGGCCCAGTGACTGGGCTGTTGTCCATTTTAAAGCCACAATATCTTTTTGTCTGTGAATAAAGAGAATTTTTCCATTAGGAACTCATGTGTTATATTAACAATGCACTGAATTATTTTGTTCTGTAATGGAGAACGCTCAAGATGTTTCCCTTTGACAAAATACTGAATGTGATGAGAAGAAATGTGAAACACTGAAATACTGTTCTGCTCACATACAGCACTGTCTGGGAGTAGTACATCTAACTGGCAATTACTCTAGCAATGTTTAACAACTTACTGTTTAGGATGGACAATTGCAAATTTGGACTATATTTAGTGGGCAGGAATATGTAAAATAGAGTTTTTTATATGTTCAGTAGGAAGGTAAGGAACAAAGACCAGAAAAAACAGTTGAATAGTTATTGTGGGCTGACTTAGGAAATTACTTCTGAAATACGTTGTAATGAATGACTGGATAAATGTTTTTAAACACTTGTCTGAGTGATGAGCTATCTGTTGAATGTCATGGTTTCCAAATAAGTGATCTGGAAGCTTAATCTTCAGGTGAAGGTGATATCTGTGAAGGACATTGTTCCCTCACAAATAACGCTTGTAACCAGACTATTTGAAAATGGTTTTGATGGTCAAGAAAGATCTTCGAAGAAATTTCAGCACCCCAAGAGATTCTCTAAAATTCCCTGGAATACTTTTATCAGCAATTTTTTTAGTAAGAATCCTAGGAGAGTTTAGAAAATATTCTCTAGTGATAGTGTTAGACTGGATGACTTGATCAATTGAATACTAAGCTGGGGCTCAGGTCACCCATGTTCTGCAGGTGAATTTCTTGCTGGGTAGCCTATGGAAAGTTCTCTTAGTAATCTGTGCCTCTGTGTCCCTGTTTGTAGACACCTTCTTTTGGAAACAATTTGATAACTATGGTTGAATAAGTATAGTATGACACAGCACAAATCATACAGTTTATGCCAGCACCTTTAGTTGTCTTAGGACACAAATGATACTAGTCTATTGTTATATATCTTGCCATGCTTCTCAATTACTTTATATTAGTAAATATGTCCCTATGAAGAATTCTGTCTAGTTGTTCTAAAATAAGTATGACTTAGGTCACTGACTTCTATGTGAAGGACATTCATGCTTTACAAATACCCAGTTTAACTAGATTATCTCCTCACTTCATCATCAAATCACTGTTTTGAGACTACAACATGTTCTGTTTTATGGTGATATGCCAGTGTGCATCTGATCTCATCGAATTCTGTTTCTGATGGGGAAATTATCTTATGAAAAATAATATTACTCAATCTTTGGTTTTAATTTCTGTATGCTTGGAGAGGAAGAAAATCCTATGTGGTATTTCATCCTGTCAATGCTAATCTTTCTCTTCAGTGCTATATCTCCGAATAGCAGATGTGTGCTTTATTGCAGTGTTGGTCCTCTATAGTACAGCATAGTGTTTTGGCAGGAACAAACAATTTATTGTACTAGAGTCAAATACAATCAAATGTTCCTTTTCCTATGAAGCATGGTCAGATATTGATATTGCATTAGCTAACATTTTAACATAGGAGAGGCTTAATAAGATACAGTATTACTCTCTCTAGGCTGTTTAATTAAACTAAACAGTCACTGTGTATTGTACAATGGTTTTCTGCCAAGGGAAAGTAAATCTGTATCATATTAGTTTCACGTTCCGAATGATGTTCTCCCCTCATTGGAGACTCTCTAGAAGAGCTGACACTGCTGTCACATGAACTGCATAATACAAACTCTGTTTGTATTACATTGGACTGTCTTGTAGCTCAGTGTTCTCCAGTAGCCTGAGCAAGCCCGTGCAGATGAGACATGTGGCTAGAGAGCTACATGTTGTATTTTACTGGCCAGGGTCCCTATTTGCCACTGAGGGGTACAGGGCTAAGTATCGTAATCCCTGTCCTGCTAACAGAGTTATTCTCCATCCCCCTGTTGGGATAGGGAGATCTGAACTGTAACCCTCTGGTCACAAAGAAGGTTCTTACTGGCCCCATGGTGGCCAGGTGACAGGGGTGGGTTTGTCACTCTCTAGTCACAGAGCACCATTTGTTCAGGATCAGAAGTTGCAAGAGTTTGGGGAAACTCTGGGTAATCCTGTGGCATCTGCCCTGGTAGCAGGGGATATTGCCTTCTCACTGCTGTCAATGGCACTGTACGTCGGGATCAAGACGAACATTCCACTCTTTGCCACTGATGGCAGGGCAAGTAGTATCACTTATATATGATGTGAGGAAAAAGATGCGTCCCTGGACTGGAGACTTGAGCAGCGTTTTCTTACAGAGCCTCCTGACACTGAATTGCTAATCCAGGAAGGGTATGGGGAGAGCAGGCACCTCTGTGTTAGGGGGTCCTGGTGTTTTCTTTTGAAGCAAGAGTTGATGCAGAATCACATGGGAAGCTACAAGCGGAGAGGCATTCAAGGCATTTGCTTTTGGGAGTTGTTCTGTTGAGTTACTACTACAAAGCAGAGTATGACAAAAACATTTGTGGTATTTCTTCTTATAAACCAAAATAAACTGCACAGGAAATACTGAAGTCTTTTTCTATACAATTTTGAGCCTGTCTTTCCTGGCAGAAGGGTACATCAGCATATTGCGATGCAGAACTGTGCAGAGATGGCAAAGCTATGCCCGAACAATCATGCTCTAGAACTGGAAGGTGCGTATTTTTATCAGTGGCACTAAGCCCTGTATCAAAGTGAAGGATAATGTTCTGGCTCTACTTTGCACAGTGTCTTGTGCTGCATAAAAGTTCCAGCCTTCTCAGAACAGGTAAAGAAATGTCTATCATGGTCCTGTGTTGCATCTCACATGCACCCACATAGAGGCATGAATGGCTGGATGCATGAAAGCAATGTCTTTAACATGGCTCTCTGACGATGGCACCATGGTTAGATTCAAGGATGGCAGTATTGGATTTATGGGAGGCTTCACCTACATAACACAGCTTTGATTTATCTCATGCTGAATGTTTTGTTGTTGTTTTCCCTCAACAGAAGATTAACCTGGAGTTCTATATTGACATCCATGCCCACTCCACCATGATGAATGGCTTCATGTATGGGAACATCTTTGAAGATGAGGAAAGATTTCAGCGACAGGCTGTTTTTCCCAAGCTACTCTGTCAGAATGCCGAAGACTTCTCTTATGTAAGCAATGTTTCTTTTAATTAATTTTTCCTATTTTTATTTTTTAATGATTAATTTTAATCGGATTGTGTGAATTTTATTTTAATATGAATGGAAGGCTACTTAAAATTTTTTGTCATTAGCAACTACCATCTTCCCTCTTATACTTACCTTATCCAAAAGTGGTAAGTTGTGACCTTATGTATTGTCATTGGACACATGAACAGAAGCAGGTTCTTCATCTTCCATATTATAACCTTTGGTTCTGAATTATTGGAATGCTTAGTTTTTATCAGAAGATCTTTTGCCTTTTGATCAACTGGATCAGATTTATTGTTTCATTCTTTATATTATATTGGCAAATTTTTTACTGTACACTTTAAATAATAGTAAATAGCAAATAGAAGTGAAAATCATAGAATCATAGAATCATTAAGATTGGAAGAGACCTCTAAGATCATCGAGTCCAACCGTCAACCCAACACCACCATGCCCACTAAACCATGTCCCTAAGCGCCTCATCTACCCATCTTTTAAATACATCCAGGGATGGTGACTCAACCACTTCCCTGGGCAGCCTGTTCCAATGTTTAACTACTCTTTCAGTAAAGAAATTTTTCCTCACATCCAATCTAAACCTCCCCTGGTGCAACTTGAGGCCATTTCGTCTCATCCTATCGCTTGTTACTTGGGAGAAGAGACCAACACCCACCTTGCTACAGCCTCCTTTCAGGTAGTTGTAGAGAGTGATGAGGTCTCCCCTCAGCCTCCTTTTCTCCAGCCTAAACAACCCCAGTTCCCTCAGCCGCTCCTCATAAGACTTGTTCTCCAGACCCTTCCCCAGCCTCGTTGCCCTTCTCTGGACACGCTCCAACACATCTCAACGTCCTTCTTGTAGTGAGGGGCCCAAAACTGAACACAGTATTCGAGGTGCGGCCTCACCAGTGCCGAGAACAGGGGGACGATCGCTTCCCTAGTCCTGCTGGCCACACTATTTCTGATACAGGCCAGGATGCCGTTGGCCTTCTTGGCCACCTGGGCACACTGCCGGCTCATGTTCAGCCGGCTGCCGACCAACACCCCCAGGTCCTTTTCCTCCAGGCAGCTTTCCAGCCACTCTTCCCCAAGCCTGTAGCGCTGCATGGGGTTGTTGTGGTCGAAATGCAGGACCCGGCACTTAATAATAGTTATTAATTAATATTATTATTAAAAATAATAAACTTGAAAGAAAAGGTTAGATAATTTTCTGTTGAAAGTTGTGACAAAGGCAATGTATGCTTTTGAAATTCTTTGATATTACCATGGAAAACTGTTCTGCAAGAAAATCTGCAATTGCTCAATACATGTCCTGTAACTTGGAAGAAAGTACGTGTGTAGGTATCTCTGGATATTGGAAATAAATGGCAAACTCCTATAAATGAGTTGGAAAAGGACATATAAAAAGGACATTTTTAAAGCAAGCTTCAAATAGAGTAGAACAGATCCTTACCACACATTGCTTGCAGTAGCTCTGCGGAAGTCAGTAGATTTAAGACTCTGGTCCAGTGTGTTGCAACTTTGTGTCCAAGTATGACATCCTGGCCCTTTCGATAGCCTTTTTTGTGCATCAGTTTTCCTTGAAAGCTGTGCAAGCAAAACACACAGTGCCCAAGCCTGCCTGCAACTGCTTGTTTGCTCCTCCTGGCCCACCTTACACACCTGTGGAGCTGCCAGCTAAGCTACTTCTATACCACTATCCCTTGCTCTATTTCAATCTATGCACTTCAGGTTTGCATAAGTGGACAGTCTTTCAAGTAAGAGGTGTTTGGTGTGCCATTTTGCTTTGACTGGGATAAGGAATATTCAGAAACGCAACTCAGCCAAGGCAGTGGGAACTTTCAGCCATGAGCTGTGAGGAAGGAAGGCAGTGGATGACATTTGGCAGCTATATAATGGAAACAGGCTCAATTAAAAATTACTTTGGAATCCTGCACCCAGCAGAGAAGAGCAGAAGAACCTACTGCTTGGGCCCTGATTTTATGTCTGCTGTGTTCTTAACCCTCTTTGTTACCCACCATACATTTTCCCAGACTCTGCTGTCCCCTTTTTGCTTATACTTCATGCTCCTGGTACAGAGAGGTAAACCTGGGTCTCCTCTCAAAGATGGGGACAGCTGGGGCATGGTGCCTGCCTCCTCTGCAGTGCCATCCCAACCAGCTTGTGGCAGAGGTGGTGGGTGGAGGAGGATAGGCACCCTGCAGCATTCCATGTGTTTAGCTCTAGAGAAACAAAATCTAAAAACAGATACAAAAGCAGACAAGTCTGCACAGCAAAAGAAACTGTAATTGGAAAAAAGGCCATTTTCATCATGGCAGGAATGTTAGCCTAAAGCTTTCTCATCAAGATGCAGTAGAGATTTTTTTTGTCTTGTGTTTGCGCATATTGCACTGTGGAGTTTGAGTGGGAAGTGAGTATAGAAATGCAGTTGTGCCACTGTTTTCTTGACAGACCTGTTCCAGCAAAAGGAAGGAGGAATTGAAACCTCCTGATTCCTGTTTGTTTCTCTCTTCTATGGCAGTTTATTTTATGCAAGAGTGAGAAAAAGTTTGGATCAGTCTCTGACTTTTCTAAGGCTAGGCAGAAGATATCCTTTCCTCTGTCTTTTCTATTCCCAGGAGGGGGACCTCTAGTAGACCAAACATTTCCCTTTTCTTCTTGGCATCAGCAGTGGCAGCTGGCCAGGTAATGCCTGGGAGGGTGTGTGGCTGCTGTTGTTTCCTCTGTTGCCTCATAGTATTGTTTAACTATTGTCAGTATTGTTTAACCATTGTCTGTATGTTTTGAGGGTTCGGGGGACTGCTGCAGTTTGAAGCTTTCTGCGGTCAACCACAGGGCTTCTCAGAATACTGTCCAGAGTGCAGAAGACCGAATCCATATTAAATGAGGAGAGAGAGCAGCCGCATCTGTTTCCAGCTGTTTGGAGCCTGGGGGAGAGTGAGTTGGGTTCAAGGAACAGCCTGTTCTTGTCCAAGAAGACCTCAGTGATTGAGTTTCTTATCTGCACCTGGTTGTTTCAAAACCACATTATAGATAAGGGGGCATTCACAGATCATAGCAATGAAAACCTGCAATTGATAGGAGTTTAGAAATTTTGTGCTCAAATGTGGGATTTCTCTCCGTTACTGTGGGAGATTAAGTGTTCCTCTTAGCACAAGTCTTGGTTGACAAAGGGAAAATCTTTGAGAAAATGATGTAGGAAATAGAAGCCAATAGCTAAAAACCCAGCACAATCTCTTTCCTTTGACTCTCAATCTTTTTTCTGTAGAAGCTGGCAATTGGATATATGTTGGCATCCAGTGCACCACAGTTTGACCTAGGTGCTGCTGGCACTCAGTACATTGGGCTTTCAACTCACATCCTACTGGTCTCTTGAGACCAGAAGCTTTTCCCCTGCCATCCATCCAAGCCATTCTTCTCAGGGCAGCTGAGGAGATAGAAGTGTTGGAAAAGGAGACAGCCACAAAGTGTCTGACGTGTGTGAAGCAAGAGGAGTGAATATTACTGCTGTCTCCAAGTGGGAAAGTCTCTGTTCTCTTGTTTTCAGCTCCAGCCATGTGGGTTATGTGACTGGTTGAAAATATCAGGGGTGAAGTTTGCTGCTCGAAAGAGAGGAAAGGAATCCAGAGCTTCCTGCATTTAAAAGGGGGAAAAAAAAGTGTTGAAGATTAAAAATAGTGTATGTAAATATGCCCTATTGACTGCTCAAAGGGAAGGGGGGAAGTGCATCGTTAACATTACCAGGCTGGTGTTTGAAAGTGTGGGAATGGACCACTGTTGTTACTAATTAATTTTCCAAAGCTTCAGGAGGTCTCATTTACATTGTATGCTGCTGCGGCCATTTGTTGGGATTATAATACTTCAACAGCAGCACTTCAAGTGAAAACTGGCGGCTGCATGAAGTGTTGTCCATAATTGACTAGCTCCATGTCTTCACACAGCACAGAGACAATGTTCCATTATGTTATCCATTGACAGTATCATTGAAAAGATTACTCTCCTTAAAGCATCTGTCAACCTTGATTGATTTACAAGGGACAAAGAACTGAAAAGGTTTGAAGTGCGGGTACAATTTTTGCCACCATTTAGCATACATAATGGTTCTCCTTTGATGTCAAAAGCTCATCTTCTATTAATAATGCAGAGGGCTTTTGAATGCAGGCTACTTGTATGGAGTTCCACACTAATAACCTACTTGCTGTGAAATGGGATTCACTTTGGAGAAGCAGTCATTTGTCTGGGTTTTACATGTTCGGAATGAATCCCGACTCAAAGGGATTTCTTTCAGTGCTCTGCATGATTGCAGCTGAGCCCTGCACGGGTTAGGGAAAGCAGGCAAATCCTAGCCTGCTCCTCCAGCCGAGAATCTGGCAGAAATCACGCAGCCAGATGCAAAGGAGCATGAACAACAAGCCTAAGATGATGCGATCAAATGCCTTGTGCCGTTTTGTCTGGCAACCTTCTATTAATATACTTTAGAGTGCATTTCATGCCTGGACTGCTTTCTTCACCTGTCATTTCCAATAGGCCTTTTTATTTAAATGACAGGATCCAAGGGAGATTGGTGATTAGAGTAGGGGATGGATAGGGGATTTGTGCCTGCATGCCTATTGTAGGACCAAAGGCAAGTCACCCAATGTCTCTGTACCCTATCTGTTGAGCAGAACACTTAATGTCACAGTACTCTGGAAGGCTGACTGTGGTTTGCAGGTAGAAGTTGTGAAAGGGACCAGAAATTCCTCATTTGTACATGACTTCAGAAACAGAGGCCTGCCTTTGGTTTAGCTGTCAGCACGTGAAGAAGAAAGCGAAAGAAGAGCTGGGAAGTTTTGCTCCCAAATAAATACATGAGACGTTCTTGGGCAGCTGCCTGAGGAAAAAGGACGAATTCTGTAAGGAAAACATTTTATATTTTCAAGGTTTAAGAAGGATATTTTTAAACATTGGGGAGTAAATATAATCTGTATGAAAGCTCTAACAGTGAG